GAGAGAACCCACGCAAACACGGGGAGAACATGCAAACTCCACACAGAAAGACCCCGGCCTGATGTTGGAATTGAACTCAGGACCTTCTTGCTGTGCGGCAACAGTGCTAACCACCGTGCCACCGTGCTGCCTAATTGCAGTTCCTACCTCTATATTTATTTTTTTAAATATATAATTAGCACAGCGTGATGTTTTATATGTTTTTTTTTTGTTTTTATTCATATTAATTATATTTTCACTTGTTACCTCTGAATTATTGAATCAGACCTAGATGACATGAAATTTTCAGCAAAATGAAAATTCAAATATTCCTTTAATTATTGATTATTCTTATTAATTTTTGATTATTTTATATATTTTCCATAGTATTACATTTGAATTTAACAGATCATTCTCTCACATAACAGACAAATATTTGTGAAATGATGATACATTTTTGGATGTATTTTTACAATCTAAATATGCATATGTACAAAAAAATATATTTAGAAAACAAGTAAATTGTGTTTTACTATATTTACAGTGATGTTATGTTATTTTACCTTTGACATGTAAAATCACAGTCTACCTATGTAAATTTAATGATATTCTAGAAAGACAGTACAAAACTGTAAAATATACAGTAAGATACATTAATATTACTATTTTTTGGAACAGTGCATAATACAAAAATGACACCAATGCTGGGTCAAATTCAGTTCAATTCAATTTTATTTATATAGAGCCAAATCACAACAACAGTCGCCTCAAGGCACTTTATATTGTACAGTAGATTGTACAATAATAGATACAGAGAAAAACCCAACAATCATATGACCCAGGATTATGACACACTCCGTTTAACTTCATAAATAATGTTTTTCATGCATATTGTAACACCAGTGAAAGCAGCAGCACGAAACATTTAATTGAAGATTTAAGAATTTGGGTCCTTTTTACCTCTCAGTGATGTTATAGTACTGGTTTGAGTTTGGAACAGAAGAAAAGTTTGGACCCATCATTGGCTAATGATGTCAGACTTAAGAGGTGGATGGCTGTAGATACAGATCTGAGTGAGATGCTGGCTTCATTCTCTCTGATCAATGACTTTACTTTTAAAAGGCTCTGAATTCTCAGCAGTCTTTGGTTTTAACACGTCAGACAACATCACAGTGACAGAAATCTGAATTTCAGAGGAGTTGCCAATCGAATTAGCAGTATTAGCGGTGTTTCCCTGTAATTTGGGCCACATTACAATCAGTATTAGTTTTTCTGTTGTCTGACAACAAGAACAAAAAAATATGTCCATGAGATTTAGATTGAATTCAACTGTATTGAAATGCAGTATAAGTGAATGTAGGAGATAATGAAACAGATGCAAACAGCTAACAAAGATAGCTGAGTTTAGTTAAGTTTAGTTTAACTGAAGCATATTAACCTCCTAAGACCCGAACTCTTCCATGGCATGCATTTTAATTTCTCTTTGATATTTAGGCATATTGGGGCCCGATGAATGTAAAAACAAAGAATTACCAGTATGTCTGTGAAGGTTCTCAGTCACCCACGTCACCGTAGTCTAAGGAGCTTGGAAAAAAAAGTGTCTTGACTTCTTTGGTCAAATGGGGGAGAGTCCCAGATTTAAACAGATTTAAACAGAGTGGGAGTGTCCCCCCAAAGAGGGACAAAAGGACCCCTTGATGATCCTCTACCTAATCACATGAGCCAAGGTGTGAAAACATGTGTGGGTCACAATCAGCCAGGGTTTCGGGTGAGCTCATTGGGAAACCTAGCTCCACCCTATCATGTGATTTCCTGAGGCAGACAGTTGGTGCCAGCTGTAATCCAGTTTTTGATCCAAAATCAAGACAGAATGGTAAAAAAAAATATTGCAGGCAACAATAACTGCCAGTATAAAACTATACCAGCGAGCTGTACAACTTTAAAGAAAACAAACACTAAGGTGCTCCTAGTGTTTATTTACTGTATTTGTGCCAGAATGTCAGATCAATTGTAGATGCAGTCTTGTCCAGTAGAACCCACACAAGTACTGCAGTACAGAGCCAAGGCCAAGCAAGCCAGGAGAGCTCTACAACTTTCTGAAAAAAAATATCAGGATATTTCAGTCATAAGAAAAAGTAGCCCATGCAACAATGACCCTCAGCACAAAAAACAATGAAAGAAGAAGAAATATAATGTTTTAGAGGTCGACCAAACACTTAGGAGTTGTTGGGTTTTCCTGAAGTGAGAAAACCCAACAACATCTCAGAGCTCAAGCAGTGAGCTCAGATTCCTCCGAGCTGATCTGTTGGGCTAATAAACCGTTAACCATGGCGGTCATGGGGGTAATACTTAATGCAAAACTCAACATTTAGTCTGATTTGTTCAATTTTCTTCTTTTATGTCATTCCTATAATTCCTGTATTGTAATCATGTCTGCCATTGTCACAATGTCAAGTGGAATCAGCTGACTTTTATTGTTGTGTGTATCTGTTAGCTTATCCTGTTCATTCATGTCAGCCACTCTCAGTTTGATACTAGAAGAGAAACCTGCTCATCTTCATTATGTTTGTTTAACTAGAGGAAATCAGAAGTCTCTGTTTGTGAGACCGAGGCTCTACACAGCACTTCTAAGCTGCTTCAAATTGAACTAACCCAAGATAAGCAGCACACAGTGGCTTTAAAACAGTGAAGGACATAATGTCTCTCTCTGATGGTAAGCTTTTATTGTGAAGTTTATGCAGGAAGTGTTGAGTTTGTAGTCATCACTCAGAGTTTAATGAGACAGGCAGACAGGAAAAGCAGTTAATTAGTGTTGATGAAATTAAAGGAACTCTGTTGAACTGCAGCTTGGTCAAATATGGATGTTTTTCACTGACAGTCAATGATTTTAGTGATAAAGAAATGTGTTCACAGAGAGAGGAAGGGGAGTGGTGTTTGTGAGGAGGAGCAGCCGTCCTGCTGTGCTTTGTGTCAGGAC